CTCCTGAGGTGCAAAGATGACCATCTGAGAATCCATTTGTCTTTTTTTACTGCACTCTGACTAAGTACGAGACCCATCTCTTTTCTTTGGCACAGGAAATGTCAGAGCTTAATTACAAGGGTTCTCAGTGCAGTGAGGGAAGATCCTTTTGAGTCAGTTATGCAGCAGAGCTCCAGCTGAGCGCTTGTGAAAGCATGGCTTCTGCAGCTTTGGATTTAGGCTATTTTGTAAAGTACAACCCACCACTTAGATGTTCTGAGGAATTCCCTGCGTGGCTAATATGAAGTGGCAGTGTTCCTCAGGCTGTAATTACGTGCTCTCTAATAGAATGGCACCTCAGGGAGGAAAAAAAGAAAAAAACAAAAATAATTAACAGGATCCTTGGCAGACTGTCCTGGTACAGAGAGAACACTTTATTGGCTTTGCATTGGTGTAGTTTTGTGCAGGTGGGCACAGTGCAAACTAACAGCCTTAGAGCTGGTTGAAAAATTCCTTGCTGTTGAGGTGTTTTGCAGTCTTCTCTGTATGATGCAAGTGCCTGCTGGGCTACGTGCAGCGTGAGCTCAAGTCAGGATGCATTGCTTAGACTCTAAATGCATGAAGCCAAGGAAGTGTTAGAGAAGAAATAGGAGAAAAGCTATTTACTCCAGGTTATGCTGTATGTCACTGGCAAGGTCAGGCTTGGAAACAGAACATTTTGTTCTCGTTCTGCATCCGCTCGGTTCTATTGCCAGGTTGTGAAACACCTAGGGAGAAAAACTCCCTGGAAGTTTCTGAATTCTTGTGGGTATCTCCCAGCGTTGAGAGGCCAAGCAAAAAATAGTTGCTTTCTGGAGAATTGTGCTTAAAATCGTTTTTGTTTGCATTTTAAGAAAGTGGCATTTGAAATTAATTCAGAATTGATATTGTTCCAAGAATGTGAGGAATTACTGTAATGAAACAGGGCTAATTGATTGCTCTTCGTTAGCAGGTCTGAATTGTACTTGAGCTGACAGGTCGCACAGGGGTGGGATTTTGGCATCCAGAATTTAACTGACCACTGTGAAAATGCACACACAGATTCCACTGGTCACCTATCAATGACTGTGGGAAAACTTGGGTCTGGCCATTTGGTTGCTTATGATTTTTTAATATCGTATTCACAGACAATAATTTTTTTTTTTTAATTTTTTTTTAAACCAGGTTGGCAACATTGTACAAATCACCGAGTCAGAAGGAGTCAACCATACCGTATAACATTACAGTTAGTATTTCTCTTGGGATGGAGATACAGAGATGGGAACGAAGTGTTGGATGTAAAGAAATTGTCAGACGCTGGCAGACCTGAGAATGCTGCTCGCTTTCTTCGTGCTGCCTTTCAGCTTCTTCCTGAAGGTAGCCAGGAACACCAGGATGTTTCCAGATTAACCATCAGATTTACAGGCAACCTGTGCCCGTTTCTGCTTGTCCCAGTGCTGCACAGTTTATCTGCCCTTCATGTCGACTCTTGGCCTAAATACAATTACAGAGGAGAGTCTTGCACTTGGAGCCTTCCTTCAGGATGCCAAGCTGCTTTCTCCCGTCACGTTGTTTGTTTCCCCAGTGGCTGGGGAAACTGCATCTGTTCTGATTTGTCATTTTTAGGGCAAGGCTGACCAGAATCATTCACGGCATTCCAGAGACCTCCAGATCTCTGCCTGTTCATTGCCTGACACAACAGAGGTTGTACTTCTATCTTTCACAGCTCTGTCCTACTGGTGACCCTATGGCCAGGCCATATATACAGAAGTATTTTTTCTTCTGTTGTCAGTGTATGATGAGATTCCAGCTGGAGTCCTCATTCAGCCCTAGGGAAATCCTGTGATAGTTTACTTTTGTTGAGTGCTTAGATACATATTGAGAATATATATTGTTTAAGCTGATTATAGGTTAAAAAACAAGCACTCCGTTCTTGTGTCTTCAAATGACAGATACATAGGTACATGCCATAACTGTTTGCTCTGTGTCCTCATGGAAACACGTTGCCATAGCATTTCCTGCAGATTTTAATGCTGCCCTAAAATGAGGTCCTCAAGATATTGAGCAGAATTCAAGGGGTTTTTTTCCAGCTCTAAATGCTCCCACTATTTTTAGTTACTTATTTATTTGTTTATCAGTTCTGTGAAGGCTGGACAGGAAAATGGGACCACATCCCAAGGTTGTTCAGATCATGTGATGCAGCTGTGCAGCCCTGTCTGTGCAGCTGCCAAATATTGGATTCTCTTAGTTTAATTGCCATTTCAGCTTTGTACAAATTATAGAACAGCTATGCTGTCTTCGTCCACAATCTTGATGTACAGTAGAGAGCGTATCTTAACCAAAGACTACTTACAACTTCAGACTATCCCTGTGTTTTTTCCTTTAATCCTGTTGAGCTGCTTCAGATGTTTCTATGAGTAAAAAATGCATTATCAATGTTTCTGTCATGAAAAGCAGGTCTGATAATAATTGTTTGCTGTTACTATTTCTCATTCTCATCTCACTAGTTAAACTGGAAGATGTAAATATGTGTTCAGTGCTTCCAAGTATGATGCAGGACATCTGTGTATAAACAGCAGACAATTTTAAAAAAACAACAACATCTAAGATGCATAGGATTATAACTGCCATTAAATTCAGTGCAAATCAGATAGTTTGGTACTTCTGACATCTGGTTGACCAGTGCTTGTACACTGGTGGAGAAGTATGGGACTGAGTGCCTGAAGCTCCAGTTCTTTTCCAGCTGTTTCTTTTCCAGCACATTGGCAGATCAGCCACCAGTCTGAGCAAGCCTGGAAGCTATGGAACACCTATCAAATAATTCTTTCATAGGCTGATGAGGATTCATTCTTAAGTGCAGAGTATAGAAATGTGAATTGATTTAAGCACAAAGGAGTAAATGGCTCATCTGATTCATCTAAATTTCCCAGGTAATATGACCTGATTATTTGATCGTGAAAAATAGGAATCCAGAACTTGTATTGTAAGAATTGTTCATATTTCCCTGAAATTTGCAGAGTCTGTCAGACTAACAATGAGAATGCCTTTAAAGTAATAAAGGCATCAGTTCTGGTGTAGTCTGTAGGTGCCAGGAAACACTGAAGAACAACCCAAGATGGGCACGTCTGTGGTGGGAGCTGTGCAGGTCCAAGGGAGCCTTTTTCAGCCTTAGTTCTGCTAGCCATGTTTTCTCCATATTAAACTGCTAACAAGCATTGCATGTACTTACAAAATTCTTGTTTTCTTTCTCACTGGAGAGAGGCTGTGTACATGCCTTTAACCAAACACAAAACAACCATACTGAGCAGCCTGGTTCATCTTGTTCTGGCCTTTATAGCCCCGGAATGCTTTTACTGAGAGTCTAGCATGCTAGATTAAGTGGATTCTTGGCTTTGATCCACCTTTGTGCCTAAGGGAAATAGCAGAGATTAGATGCAAGCAGCAGTGAAACACTAAACTTGAAGATTCCCCATTATGCTATTTAGAATAACACTTGAGTTGCTCAAAATAGCAGAGGGACCGCACAGGTCGTGCCCTCATGGCACCTCTTGCTGTTTGCTCCCTTCAAACATAGCAGGCTACATGAGGTGAGGCATTTAGAAATAGAAATACAGAGATGAGGCACAAGCAAAACATTGTGATTGGTCTTATCTTGGCTTCATTTTGGTGCAGGACATAGTGGCATTTTGAAAAAGTCACACATCTGGTAGTAATTCTCCCTGATTTTTCACACTGCAGTAACCTGAAGTGTCAGCCTTCCTGAAGTGTGCTCAGCCCTGTGTTGTCTCGACCTGAGCACTTAGGATCCTCAGAACAATTTCTTTTTCTGATTAACACTTTTTCCTCTCTTGAGTTTGCAGTACAGTGAGTCCTTCACTCAGCTGTCAGCAATGCTCCCTACACAGCATTTGGAGATAAGGCAGTTGAAGGCTTCACATAACGTCTCAGTGTTATGTAATAACTGATGACATTTAGCTAACTGATTTTTCAGATCTTCCATCTTCTAAAGTCTTGTAAGATCATCAAACCGTGAGGTAATGTAACAGAAAATACCAATGGTACTAAGCAGAATAGATCACCTTAAGCTCTCTACTATGTAGCAGCATCTAGTTTTCAATTCTACATTTAGGTTTTGGCAGTTAAAAGTACTCAGCCCATTGTGTCCCATAAATCACTGTGCTGGGACTGTCCCTGCTGACTGCAAAGGCCAGATGAGGTGTCTGCTTCTCTTACAGTGTCTCCTCAGTGTTTTCAGTTCATTAAATAGACGCATGAAACAGAAGGAGGTCTCAGAAGATTTTCAGTGCTGTTTCTGAAGATGGCTGAGGCAGTTAATCCAGTGCTCATCTCCTTGTTCTGCAGGAGGTTGGCTTGAATCTGGGCTGAAGGATTTGGCTTTTAATTTATTTAAATAAGCAGCATAAGTTAATTTGCAGAAAAGCACCGCTATGTAGTCAGGGGTTGTTAGAGTAAAATGCAAATGGTGGCATCACTGGTGAAAGGAAGCAGAGACAGTAACTAGTGGCCACCTGTGTTGAAAACCTTTCAGTTCTGAGCTTAACCTCATCTAGAAGCATTCTGCATCCACTCTTCTAAAATAACTGATAGCATCATGCCTCATTCTGATCTTCTGGGAACTAGAGTTACTCATGCTCTGTATCTATAGAAGTAATATCACGTGATTTCACTTATATTTTACAGCCTCAGGGCTTCCGAGATGTGCAGCCTCCACCTGTCACCCAAAATGCAGAAGGTACTGAAATGAACCCTCGCAAACGGCCACGGAGAGAAGAGGAAAAGCAACAGTGATTCAGAAGAACCATTCCAAAAAGCTGTGCTGCATGAGAACAACCATGGAGAGAGCATGCAGCCAGAGGCAGCTGGAGAGGTTCTTTAAATTCCTACTCTGGACTTTATTTTATTGTTAAAACTGTAATATGAATTTTTTTTTTCTGGCAGCAAAATTACCTGTGTATGGCATGATTTTACTTTTATAATAAAATCTATTTTATATGATGAGGCTTCAGCTTTTTTTGAGATGAAGGATACAGCTGCTTGGGGTTAAAAAAAACAACAGCAGGAAATGCGAGCATCCAGAGCAGTATGTTTAATGACACAGTTCTTGGTCAGTCATCTGTTTCTGTGTGCATCTGAATTGTAACGAGGTTCCATGCAGCAATCTGCTCAGGTGCCTCAAATCGGGGCAGAAAGTTGTGGAGCTGTTGAGAGATGCTTTAAGATAAAAGTGCTTTATGCTGTGCCAGAATGGGGCGTTAGTCCTTACCTGCTGCTCAGTCCTTGATCAAGGGCAGTCAAGCACTGTTCTGAACTTCTCATTTATCTCGTGTTGATAACAATAGAGACAAAAAGGCTAGATTTGAAGGACAAAAAATTTAATGCAATTTTATGTTTCTATTTTGGTGAGAACATTCTATCTCTACTCAAGCTTGAGCCAAACTGCTGTTCAGCCCTTAGCTTTCCATATTCTTTTACCAAAGCTTTCAGAATGAAAATTCTGTAATTGGAATGTGCTTTGTTTGTGGCTTTCATTTAACAAAGAGGAGACCCAGGCTTCTTAGACACCAGCAGTATATTAGCAGCTTCAGAATCTAAACTAAATGAATGATTATCCACTGAAAAAACAGCAGGGATCTGTCCTTTTTTATTAACAAAACAAATCAATAAGATTATTTGAGGAGAAAAAAGGTACTGCAGTGCAAAATGGTAATTTCTTCAGTTGTGAGAAGCGTTTGTCAGTACACACACACACATCTGACCCCCTTTCTGGCACAGTTTGATGATGTTATAGCTGAGGAAATTCAGCCAGAAGAGTAAATAGGAAATTCAAGTTGTGGGAGTCACTATCTTTAATTTTTAATGTAGTAATGCTAAACTGACGTTGCCTTGAAACAAAATTCAGCTCTGAATCTGAGTCACAAAACTATTTAAAAAGCTGCAATAAAAAAAAAAAAGTGACAGTGATTTTTGGATCATTATAGTATTAAGATATAATTTACATAATAAAATATTAAAAGGAAAAGTAGTCAGTTGCCATACTGCAAACTGGGCTCTGAAAATTTTAAAACCATGACTCAGGGAGAAGCTCTCCAGAAGCAAGACGGAGAGGAAGAAAGGCAGCGGGATGCGTGACTCAGGCAAACATCTCAATGCAGGAGACACAGGCAAACAAAAGGGTCCTGCTGCATGTGATGTCAGCAAGCAAATGCTCCATTTGGGAATAACAGCTTCCTACGTATTGCAGTGCAGGAGGGGGAGCCAGCACAGCGCACACGCTTACGTAGGCACAAGGAAAACCATGCAGCACGAATGGCGTAGCAGCATTTAAGGAGCGCTGCTGGCTGCTAGTGATGGCTGCCACCTGATCCGTTTGGTTTTATGAGAACATCCATTTCTGTCAATATACTGTTTTGATTTAATATCCTCAGCACATCCTTACACGTGCAAAGACATATCCAACATACCGTTCATTTCATCTGACTGTTCTTTTTGTTTTGCTTGTGGTAGAGCAGCATCCAGAAGCCCCAGCTGAGCGCTGATCCTGTTACACCAAGGCAGAACCTTTTGGCCAAGCAAATGTTAGATCTTCCAGGGTTCCAGGTGTCACAGATGCCAGTGTTGGAAAAAAAAAAAAAGAAAGAAAGAAAGAAAAAAAAAGTAGTTACTTGCTTAACAGAGGGAGTTATAAAACATCCAGAGAAATATTGGAAGCTTCTATGCTGAGATTTATTTATATATTTACTCTAATTGAAGTTATATTAAAAATCAGCTCTGCAGACCTGAACTAGAGAGAAGGATCTGTTGGCGGAGACAAAATTAGATTAAATGAGGCAGATTTTGTTCTCATCTGTTGGAGAGAAGGAAGGAAGCTGTTCCAGGCTTAGAGCTGCATATAAAGAAACAATTTGACCATTGCCTTACCAATAAATCTTCCATGGCAAGTTGGTGTTTTCTTACATGTGCCTGGAATTCTGCATTTCAGAGCGTCGGTGCACAGCAGTGAGCAGCAGAAGAGAATTTTACGACTGCTCAAGAAGTGAGATTCGATCTAGCTCCTTTGTGGCAATGAATCAAAACTAAACTAGGTTGTCTGGTTTGTTGCTAAAGTTCCACTGTTCTGAGTTCAATATTGTTCACTTTTGTCGGGTTGACATTTACTCGTGGTGTAGGAACTTAGTCTGTCACCACAACAAGAACACAGTATGTACCACAAGGCCTGGCAACAAGAAAACATTGTGGTTAGGAGATAGTTCTCAAGCCCAGAATCCTACCCTGAAACTCTTCAGTTTGGATACAAAAAATAATTTATTTCTTCCTGATTTCATGTGTTCTGTGCCTTTTCCATTATGAGACACTGAGAATCCAACCAATTTCCGTGTAGAATATTATTAAGAAAACCTGGAGAGGAAATAGCCGAATGGAAGACAAGAAGATGTAGCCAAGGTTCAACTTATGCAGCCAAACAGCTTTGCCTTAAAGTCAGTTACTGGTTGACTAATGTGGATGGATGCTGAGCTGCTCACCCAAATGTCAGACACAGCTTGGAGAGAAACACCTATTTTTCTGTTGAATTTCAGTCACTGTTCTTTTAGTCACTAAATTTAGAATGAGATTTATTCGAAGGCATTGCATGGATTAATGACAAAGCTGAAATCTTTACTGCCTACTTTTCTATCTCCACCCTTTTTCTGAACAAGAGAAGATTCGTCAGCAGGAAGGACAAGTGACTGTGTTCCAGCTTCTCAGAAGTGATTGCCTCATGCTTGGGACCATAATTATTTAGAAAGGCACAGCAATTTATATTATATTGGTTTAACATATAGTAACTTTATACGAAATAATATACTTACGGTTTGATGCTGTTTTGCTCTACAATGGAGTACGTAGATGGAAATTAAATGGAGTGCTTACATTGCAGTAATACAAATATTACAACAGAATACGAAAGGGAAATTGTACTTCACAGTATGAGGACTAGAGAAATTAACCTGTGGTTCCCAACCATTCCAAGTGCCACCCATGGCAGGGGAACATGAGCCACCGGCTGCTGAATTTGGCATTGTCACAGGGCTGCCAAGCATCCTGCCCAGGCCTCCTCCACACCAGCCCTCCCTGTGACTGGGAACCAGTGCCAGCTGCTCCCTGCTCCTGGGCTTCCACTCTCCCTGGCTCCCAAAGCTGCGTACTCAGTGTCTTGTGGCTCCCAGCCATAGAGCCATTTTGGACCATTAGGGTCAGGAAAGTTGGCTTGCCTTCGCCAGTGAAAGATTTCTGCATTGATGCTCTGTACTGAAAAACGAAATCACTGGGAACTGGCCCACTTCCCAGTTCTGAATTTCACCCACAAATGCACCCACTGTTAAATTGTAAGCTACCATTTTGCTCCCTGCAAGCAAGGGGTATTTGTACAGTATGCCCAATCTATTTATTAGAGCTAATAAGCTCCACACAGTTGTAACAATCTACAGAATTAATGCATGGTGTTAAGAGCAATCGTTCAATCACTACATAAGCAGTATAAAATCAGATTATATACCAAAAGGATGCACTGAAAAATACATATTTCCTGCAGTCACACTCCAAGAATTATAGCTAGTAATGTTAATTTATTTTAATTAAAAATCCTTGCCACTGATTTAAATGGAGCTCGAGAAGCATCAGGATAAGAAAAATAATTAGACTTCATTTTCAAACAATGAGAAGAAATGGTGTTGAAAATATAAAATATCAAGGAATGTAGATAGGAACACACGGCAGAAACGATGGGCCGCAGTTGTGACTGGGGGTGGGCGTTTTGTTCGCAGCCTGCAGGCACGTTGTTTGAGTCCATGCTCAGCGTGGTTTCTCACATGACTTTATTTTGGACTTCTACATTCACAACTTGTGTACTTCTAATACTCTAATTTATTTAGTGTGAGCCACTGCACTTTTAGCAACATAGTTACAACTACATTTCCTTAGTGACTCCGTTTTTATTGTACATGTTGCTAAAATAAAATGTTTTGGGCTGGAGAACAAGTTGTCTCCTTAGCATAGAAATTATGCCTATACGGTGAGAGATAGTCAGCAGGAGATTGGAACATTATTTGTCACACCTTTTCTCATTATGCAGGCTCACTGCACATTTGGCTATAAAATGTTATGGGAGGCATTACATAAATGTCTCTCTTTAAAGTCATTCATTCATTCACTTCGTATAGTTAACCCAAACTCCTATCACTGAAGCTTAGTATTTGAGGCTGTTCAAAGGAAATTAGCATAGCTATTTTCAAGTCTGTGAATCCTGCTGATTTTAACTGTACTTTTATAGCACACATATTATAAACATAATGCCTGTATGGCCACAGCAGTGATTGCATGGCGGAACTCATGGAAGTCAGTGATATTTTTTCTTTTTTCTTTTCTTTCCCCTTTTTTAATAGGCATTTCTAGAGAAGCGACTGTAAAATTTAAAGTCTTGTGACTGGAGAAGGATATTACAGAATCAAGAAGTGAATCTGCAGTAAGATGTCGATAAGTCATTTAAAGTAAGCCTTAAATCCCACCGGGCACCTTAACGAGCCTGGCTTACACTTTGTTTTCATTTTAGGATGAACTTCACCTCTATCCTGAAAGGGCAGAATATGCACACCGTGCTGTGAACCCCCTGAACAGGGTGTAAATGTGATTTAAGTGGCATACAGTCTTTTTATTGCCTCTGCTGAACAAAAGTGAGCTTCAGGCTTAGAAATTCCAGCAGTGCTACATTCACACAGTATGGTGCTGTTGGACGTCAGCCGCGGATGAAGTATGCTACCAAAATGGAAAGTATAGGGGAAGAGCCTGGCACAGCAACGTCAGTGAAGCCTGTTGTTTGCTGATATCCAGGAGGTCTGCACCCTTCAGCTCCATTTAGCAGTAAAAGGAAATTATGACAATGAAGAGTGACTGATAGCTGAAGTGGATCAACCTTAACAAGTGATTGGACTGTGGTGTGCTCCTGCCTGCAAGGCATCTCATGATTTGACAACATCCAGACCACATTATTGTTACGTGGTCAGCCGTGTTTTGCTGAGGTAAATCCCTGGGCACTGATCTACAGGCACACTTCAACCAGTCAGTCAAAGATTTTATGATGCAACAAATGACCTTTGTTAATGGGACACAAGGTATGTCGTGCTGTATCTCGCTATGTCTGCTCTGAGATTGTTCCAGCCACGTCCCACCACTTCCAAAGGCAACTTTTCAGTTGTTCTTTTTTCCGCATATTTTTCTCCAACAGATTTCCAAGTCCAGCTGAACAGGCACAGAGCGATATCCCATTTCTCATTATTGCTATGCAAAGGAACCCCTTTCCTAAGCAAGGGTATGAGTGCAATACTGAAAATGGAATTTTCCTTTGGAAAGGGACTGGAAATTTCCGTGATATCTGGAAGTGGGATTTGGGCCTGAAATCCTGTATTTTGCAATGAACGTGGTTATCTCAAAATAGTCAATGAATAATAAACTTAAAATGCTGGCTTGGCCCCAAAAACCATGAGAGGGAGAGAGACTTTGGTTCATAGGAACATCTGAATAGAATAACTGTTAATTTATAACTGTTCAGTCATTCTATGGTGAAGGTTCCAGCACAGTTGTGGGGACTGAAGATACTGTGCTATTTCAAACTGCAAGGGCGCAAAGGCTGAAGCTAAGAAAATCAATTAGAGCTTGATGAAGCTTGTTAACAAGAGCCTTCTCACTGTATTCCTTCAAAATTCTCACTGTTGTGACTCTTAAACAATTGAAATTATTTCAGTGAAATTGAATAATAATAACATCGAGTTTTAAGAGCTATAACAAGAATGCAGGCTTGTATTCACATTCACAAGGTGACAGATATTGATCATATGAACACACAGAACTTTAAGCTCTTTCAGCAGCATATTACAAGTATAATTTCATATATTATCCCATATACAACACTGCAGGAATTCCACAATAGAATTGCCTTCGAAATGAGAGCAGTCAAAGGCTTTGAAATACATGCATTTCTGATGGTTTCATCTGACCAGGAAAACAGAATATAGCTTCTAAAATTACCTCTGGTTTGCTACAGAAGCCCTGCATTTTTAAGAGATCACCTTTGACTGCAATTTATTCACCATTAGGTTTGCCCATTATACTCCTTTGTACAGTATCAGAACATACAACACAGGTATATTATTGTCAAATGCTTTTCAACAACCAGTCTTTTTTTTCCCCTGCTTGTCAGTGCAGAAGAATTACTTCCAAAGGTTACACAGAATTAAAAAGCACTTCTCCTTGCACTCCATACTATTCAGGTCACCTCCCAGAGGCCTGCTTAAATCCTGCTTATTTCTCCCCAGTATAACAAGAAAGAGGAAGATGCATTTTCAAGACTAAAATAAAACAATCTTTTCCTAACACGGGACTGTAAAACCTTAAAACACAACACAGCAAAGCAGAATACAAACACACGCGTTTCCTTCTCAGGTCAGGTGCAAGCCTTATCTTTTGACAGTAAGTTGTAAACCAATGATTTCAGCCTCAAAACTTTATGAATTGTGAGTTTCTTCCATTCACCTGACCTCAGCACATAGGAACCATTCACACTGCCGCTCCCCAGCAACCCAGAGTGCAGGCAAGCATTCTAATTTTAGCTTCCAGAGTTACTAAACACTAAAAGCATTCTCTAAGAGTACCAAGCACACCTCCCACCGCTTAGAGCTTTACTTGATAACACGTTGCATGTAGAGCTTCCTTTTCTGGACAGCAGCACAGAGCACTCTGGCCACCTTCTGTGGCAATTGCCCTCCCTGCTGTCTCTGCACAGCGAAGTGAGAGCAGGTTCCTGGCTGCCTAACTTAGCCCTACCACCCACAGTCACCATATGTTCCACACTGCAGGTTAATAAGAATGGGTTTTCACCTTCCCTCCCAGAAACAAATATTGGCATGGCCATAAGTTCTTGACTTAATACCAAAACCAAATGATACTAACATGACCACGGTGCCAAAACTTGACAAAGTATCCCGAGTACAAAGTTCTACTTTCATTTTAAGCAGCATCCTTTGCAATTGGACAAATGATGAAAAGCACACGGGACTGCCAAGATGAATCAAGGACATCTGGT